AAATTAGCAACTTTAAAGTATAGGGTGAAAGGACATTAACGAAAAACGTTTGCGCATGCGTTTATTTCAGCTCGTTTTCGAAGAATTCAAGAGCTTTTAAATATTTCATGATCATGAGTATACGGTTCTATATGAAAGAATTATATTTCAGGGTCCAAGTATATACAGCAGCAATAGAGAGTTTTAGATTGACTTTTCTTTCTCCCCGCAAACGGCAAACGTGACCACGTTTTCATAGTTTTCCTGTATTTTACTTTACTATTTACAAACCTTCTCACCAAGCGCAAATACTCTTTTGTTTTTCTACTATTTGGACTTTTTTTGCGATTCTTTTTCAGTCATTTAAAAAAATTGTTTACTGGTCAACTGACGTTTCACGTTTGCCGTGAACGTAAATCTAAAAATCTCTAATGGCCATATTGACACAGCTTTCTGATGTTTAAACCTCGTTGCTTCAAGGACAACCTTATTCAATACTACCCGGGGAAGGTCTACTCGGGTTTCGTTGAAGTAAGTTTCTTTCAACAAYACTGGATTGTTTTGCACCCGTTCAAGTTTATTTTTATCAACATTTAAGTAATATTTTTATGAATAGCTATAACAGAATGATACGACATACAATTAGAGAGATCATAGTTACTCCCTCCGTCAAATATGAACTACAAGTGAATCAAARTATCGCGTAAAGCAAAGAAACGAGAACTCAATACAGTTATTCTTTCTATCTTAGTTTTAAGTCCTTCAATGTACGCTTAAACAGTTATATACCCAACAAGTTTAACTTGGTAATAGTTGTTGTTTCCACCCGTTAGGTAGCTATCCTTCACCACGAAGACGAGTTCATCCGGCAGAGATGTATCCCAAGGTAACATCAACTCGTAGTAGAAAGTATTAGCGTAGATATTGAAGTGTTGGTTGTTGACTGCCACGCTTCCATTCCTCTCGTTCCTCTTTTGATACGCCTTGAAGTTAAGGTACACATGGCCTTTGACGTTCCAGAAATTAGTAAAGACGGAGATGATGATGGATTTGGTCTTGCTTGGCAGGACTRTTGGAAGCCTTTGGATATAGGTCGGTGTTTTCTGATGTAGCTGAATCCTAGATAATTGGTTCAACGCAAGATCCACTCTGACTAAGTTCCATCCCGGTGCGTTCAGTTTGGCCTGGATGTTGGCTAAGGTACGTTTGAGGCTTGCGATTTCTTGCTCTGATTTCGCGTATTTTGCCTTGATGCTTTTGTAGCTTGTGTTCAAACTTTCCACTCGGTCTTCTAGTGATTTGGAGGCGATCCCTGCTAGTCTGAGATAATCGTGTAACGAGTCTTGACCTTTCTTACAAGCCACTTGTCCTGTGCTATATGACACGCCCGAAAAGACTGATAAAACTATCACAACGAGTATCGTAAAATGAAAAGTACCCATTGCGATGCTCAGATGCTTGCTTCAAGTTTTTCTGCAGTGCAACGTATCTCGGTTAAATTCAGTACTGAATACCGGCTGATGGAATAGAACAGTTTTATAGGCAAAACAGGTCACGCATTTATGTCATGATCTCACGTCACATTTACGTCACTTAAAACATCCTGCAAGGATACGTTCAATATCGATCCAATCAGAATGCTTGGCTTTCTCACGCCAAGAAAACTAGGAACACTTCCGTCCCTCAATCAGAGCGTTCCAATGATTCGTCTATTTTTGAACGGAAATGACGACACTAATCCACGTTGAAAGCGCACGATCATCGTTCGTCAAGTGAAATAGCAGCACGTCCATTACTGAGCAAGATTTTCGAAGAGCAATACTTCCTATCAGGTGAGTTCATCCCTATACTAAAGAGCTGTCAAGATGGGACTTACTCCCGATTCCCATCTAACCCCAATTCGCGAAAATTACGATGTAACTCAATAGTATCCATATTCATGTGTCTTCTCGTGCACAATCGTTAATCCAATAAAACGTTACTCTAGTGAACGACACGTAGCCTAAAATGTAAAACGTTACATATCAGCGTGTGGTCTTTGACGGCACCCTCTCTGATTGGCTATCAGTGACATCTGGCGTACCTCAGGTTCAATCCTGGGCCCTCTGATGTTTTTGATTTATGCCAATGACATGCCTAACTGACTACATTCACGATGGATCCAGTCTTGCTTTGTTCGCCGACGATAGTAAGCTATACCAATCTATAAACTCCGCCACCTCTCTACAAGCAGATCTAGACGGCCTTCACAACTAGAGTGTTGACCGTGGAATGAAATTTAATACCACCAAATGTTAAGTCATGCATATGACGAAGTTGAGTCTGTTCCTTCAATCAAAGACCTTGGTGTGATTGTCACTGGTGAGTTGTCATGGGCTGCTCATATCAAGAACATGTGCGCAAAGGGAAACGGAGTCCTCGGGCTCGTAAAGCGAGTGTGCGGTAAAGACATTACCGACATATCAACAAGAAAACTTATATATACTGCTTTAGTTAGACCGATATTAGAATATGCCCCGTGTCTGTGGTCTCCCTACACAGCTTTACATCGTAGGTTACTTGAGAATATTCAACGACGCGCTACCGAATTCATTTTGAATTATCCTGATAGAAAGGCGACCTATAAAGAGAGGCTAGATAAACTTACTTCAGTTAGAATATCGCAGGGATATACATGACCTCGTTCTTTTGTTTAAATTTAAGTCTGGACTCATGAAAGCAGATTTAGGCCGCTTTTTGATCCCCGCAACTTCAAATCATAGCAAGCGCAGTTTTGATCCTGCAATTTTCCGCCTCGTTTATTCTCAACGTCAGCTATACTTTACAAGTTCTTTTTCCCCCAGGTCTGTTAAATTGTGGAATAAACTCCCTAGTTATTGGAAGCATGCTGAATCTGTCCCAAAATTCAAAGATATCATTTTTCATCATTTTAAGGATAAAGTAACCGAATTCATTCAAACCGCCTTAACTTAGCGCGTTAATAATCTTGCACAGCATTACTATCTTTTTGCCAAACGTACAAGTGTCCCATCATTTTCGTCAGTTATTATTTATTCTATTATTATTATTATTATTATTCTATTATCATCCATTCTTATTTTTTGTAGTTTATAAGGGGGTGAACAGCAATCGGGGTGTTGCCCTGCGTTAGAGTCTCCGTTATTTTCTATTGAAGAAATATTAATAAACTAAACTCAAGGGTGTAGACATTTATTCACCTAAATCTATCTTTGCTCTTTTTATGCTGTTAACGTTAGTTGGTTTTAATTCGGTAGCATTACGCAGTTATGTAGCCAACAAGCTTGATTCTGTACCAATTGGAACCCCCACCATCTCGAGCGCTGCTCGTGACCAAGAAGACGAGTTCATCAGGCAGAGAAGTATTCCACGGTAGCATCAACTCGTAGTAGAAAGTATTAGCGTAGATATTGTAGTGTTCATTCTTGACAGCTACGCTTCCATTCCTCTCGTTCCCCTTCTGGTGCGTTTTGAAGTCAAGATAAGCGTGACCTCCAGAATTCCAATATTGCTTTGGTGTTAGGTGGAAGGCACAGTGGTATCTTCTGAACATAGGTTGGAGTTGGCCCATTTAGTTGAATTAAGTTCAACTTGTTAAATTCTTCATTTAGTCTTATCATCCTCCATCCAGTTGTATTTTGCTTTCTTTGGACTTCAGCTTCATATTCTTTTGGATTGCCACGAGGCGCTAGTAGGCCAAAGTAACCAAAAAGCCTACGAACTGTATGAATTAACTAAGTTTATCTATTTTTAGAG